AGTAGTTGCAGGCCTGTTGTGGGTTCCAATTCAAGCTTGTGATTGGTCTGACTCTCAGCTTACAATTGGGCAAAATTCAATTCTACTGTTTGGCTTAAATTCAAGCCCACTGACATTAGACACTGCCCAGGTTAGGTATGAGGTATCCAGAACAGTCATGGTTATTATGGTGGCAGCTGTTTGACAGCTGTCATGTCTCCATGAGCATGATGAGACTGGAAGTGGGGAAATTTCAGGAGGACTTGTTGTATTCATCACAGTTCTGTAAGGCCTGGGCATATTAATAATGGGCCAGGAGCCCTGTGTGATCTCAACCACATTAAGAAGGCTTCTCTGCTGCTCTAGCAGCAGCATCTGGAATGGCACACATGAAGAAGTACCTGCTGTCAGGGAAGTCCAGAGAGTAGCAGTGAAGTGACCTTAGAGATAACAGCAGAATATGCTGCTGGCCAAACCAACAAGCCCTGCCACTGTTATAGAAGAAAGAGAACCAGGTCATCTTCTGTCTCATTATCCCTTGCTCACCCCTCACACATCTGTGTGGCCCACTCCCCAGCCTGAGACAGTGTAGTGTGTCCCCCAGGTGAGGCTCTGCGCAATGTCATCCAGCTTGAGGATGTGCCAAGCATGCTCCAGGTTAAGGTTGTATGGAGCATCCTCTAGCATAAGGCTGTGGTAAAGCATGTCCCAGCATAAGACCCTGAAAACTGCCCTCCCAGCACGAGGGTGTGAAGATTGTCCCCCAACTTGAGGCTGAGTGACGCGTCCCTCACAAGTTGAGCCCTTCATAGTTCTGGAGAGACTGTGCACTCTGAGGTGACCCCTATTCTCTGTGCCCAGATCCTGCCAAGTATGGCACCTCCACCTGTCTCTGCAATTCCTCAAGTCCTTAAGCTCTGTTTGTATTCGCTTCTCTTTGCTGCAGGTTGGAGATGCTCAGGGAAGTAATATGACACTTCCTGGGGTTTTCTTATATTAGGGACTAGCTGATGATCCCCAAATGCAGATACTGACTCCTAGAGCCATACTTCAGATGTGGTCTATCTGGAGAGGGATATTGGGAGCTGTTCAGTCTCCTAATCTTATAGATGAGTTTATGACAAAGAATAAAATAAAAGAGACAATACAATGTAGTTTGCAGTGTTCTGGGAAGATCAGAAGTATTTGTGACTAAAACAAATACTTCTCTTCAGTCAGTATTTATTGGGTCCTTAACATACTGTGGAGTGCAGGAAAGTGCTGAGGCAAAAGAAGTACAAAAATGGGCAAGGCCTTGAGACAGTAGAACAAAGACATTTTAAACAGTAAATCTTTGCTTAATGTGAGGACTGTTTCATCTCTAAGGTTGGTAGCATTGCCCTTGAAAATCTGAGGAAGAATCAGTGCCCACAGCTGCCATATTATCTTGCCTTCAGAGTCATCAGAGTGTCACAGACCACTACAAGTCTATACTGAGACTGTTGGCATGGAAAGTTCTATGTCTGCATGCTGCCTACTAGACTCCCAGGTAAGCCACTTAGTCCTAGGACAGATTAATAGAAAAACCAACTGATGAATCCTAAAGGCTGCTCATTGATGCTTCATCTAGGGTCCATCATATGGGCATCTAACAATGGTCCACTCCAATGCAATCCGTGGGAGGACCTCTTCCAGTGTGCCTGGTGTTCTGGTCAGAAGAGGAATCCAGGACAAGCTGCATGGAAAGGTAAATGAATTTCTGTAATGTAGGTCACCCCATGTGTGGCACTTTACAATGGCAGATAGAAAATATCAGTTTTTCTTTTCCTTTCCTGGACCACAGTTCCATGACACCTGTGTTCCATAGTCCTGTGTGTAGTGTGGTTCTCACCAAATCAGTGGCAGAGTCAAGACTGTGTCCTTGCCTCCTGCGTGGTGGGAGGGAGTTGTCTCTGCTGCCAAAGCAAGAGAGGGTGATCAGGGGACATCAGATCTATAGAATGTCCAGTGGAGACCGGAAAGCAGACACAAAGGGGGTTGCAGACTGTGCTAAAAGAAGCCTTACCATAAAGATGGCCTGAGAGTACAGATACCTCTTCCCTAAACTTACACACTGACCAACTCCAAGACCTCTAACCTCCACTGGCATGGAGTCTGCCCTGGAGATGACGGTCTGTATTGTGACCTAGCCTGAAGTTGAGGAGCCAAGGAGGAGAATCCCAGTTCCTGGGACATGCTGAACCCTGATTTCTGCACACACCTTTCAGTGGCTCCTGCTTCTGCCATTGGTGTATGGGAAATATAACTTTACAGCATGGTATTCTCAGACATGGCTTCCATTCCTGTGGAGGAAGGAGGACACAGTAGTGGCTGATGACACAGAGAGGAGCTCTTTCTGCCCAATGAGAGAGAAGAAAATTTTTAAGTGAGTACAGGAGTGAAATTTGCCATCACAAAACATCAGGCACTGCCACCAAGTTACTGGACACTACAGCAGGTGACAAGTGTTTGGTAATGGGGCAGGGCATTGCCATTTGTCCTGCAGGTCCATGGTTCCAGTGGAGTTGATGGCATGATTATACAGGATATGATGTGAGGAAACAAAAGCGTTGGTCTTAAATCAATTGTGGGGCAGACAAAGGACACAGGCCAGTCTCTGTGCAGATGGAAGAAGTGTGGTCTGCCCATTTACTCAACCTTTGATGTCAAGATGGTGAAGTCTAAGTACCTCTAAGGTCCTCCAGGAATTTATTGGAATGTCTTCAGTGGCATCTTTCCAGTTGTCACAGAGGGGCTGCATGTGCTTGGCAAAAGTGAGCATAGGCAGTGCACACAAAGGCTGGCTCCTGCCATAATGGATTTCCAGTTACACTCCACAGGACAGCCAGGATCCTCATAGGTGGGGAATGCCAGGCCATAAGATTCTGATAAAAGAATCCCTCCACTTTCCTTCTGGTTTATCTGTCTCCCCTGGCTTCTAGATAAGATTTCCATATTCTTGTCCTGCCTCCTCCTATTCAACTATTTTGTATTAGTACTTTGTTTATCATCCCAGTATTTCTCAGGCAAACCAAGCAAATATGAAAGGCAAGTATTTCTCATTACATCAGTTTTGTACAAAAGCAGGACTTGCTTTCTTCAACTACCTGTCATTGTCATTATGCCTTGTCCTTCTGCAGTTGCATGGCCTCCACATACCTGGTCTGTCCTTGTAGACCAACTAGTGCACACTCAGTTGGTACCACAATACATGGCAAGTGGCTAGCATGCATGGTGGTCCCTTTCCTTAGGTATCCAATGGATCAGAACTCTCTCAGGTACTGGGAATTTGCACTGCTGGTTTAGGGGAGGCTGCGTCTATCTAACCGTAAAGTGACCTGTGTATGGCTCTGATCCCCAACTGTGCTGAGCTTCAGGTTAAACAAAACTGGCCAGCCAGCTCAGGTCCATGGTGGGGGACTTAGGAACCCATAGTTATGCACGCCAAATGCAGATCACATAAGTTCCAAGTGTCCTAGAGGGAGAGATCAAGTCTGGAAGGCACCTATAGTTCTTGGCTCAACGCCTTTCATGTCCTTACACCCCACTTTACACTGGACCCAGCCTTCCTCAGTTACATTTGAGGAATGTTATGTTCAAATGAGGCCCTGCTAACTGAGGCTGAGATCCCCACAGCAAGGCTGGAAACCTTGGACGACCTGCGATGGTTCTGAACACTGGGTCCTGGGTCACACAGGTTTTAGCTGCATTTCAGATATTGCCAGCATCTCTGCCATGGCCCTTCCTCCTCCCTTGATGACCAAATGCCAAGTTCTCTCTTACTCCTCCACCCCTCCAGAGATGCTGGATCCTGCCCCTCTGGCAGAACTCTTGAGGCTGACCCTGCGAGGGGCTCATCTCAACATGTTCTGGGGTCAGGGTCTGGCTCTGTGGACACTTTCATACAGGCCATGAGGATGCAGCCCCAGAAGGGCTACCTGTGAATGCCTGCAGGGTGGGTAAAGCTTTAGAGGTAGCATATGGCACATCTGTCTGATGTCACTGGTGACAGTGTCACCCCTTGTGTCCCTGTAGAAGCCCCAGGGTCCAGCCAGTACACACCTCAACACTCAACCTAAACCTGCTGGCTTCGAGGGAGTCTACCCAGTCATCCTGAGAGCGAAATGGGGTGAACACCCCACACAGAGGTAATGAAATACACATAATATTCTTTTCTTTGCAGGTTGCTTGCTGAGTCCTTTTCTGTTTACAGGCCCCCCCTCCTCCCCAGGAGTGTGCTGAGTCTCACGTGGACCCCCTCCGTTACTTAGGAGCACCCCAGACAGGTTGGCACAGTGCGTCCTGGCAGGAGAAGCCTATGTGTCAATCCACACTGTCTGGTGGCTGCTGTTGAGGAGGCTTCTCACCCAGCTGGGTTTGGGAAGAGCTGGAGGTAGGCCCTTCGGCCTGCAGCTGTGTTTGTGAAGTGATCCAGTTACCCTGCAGCCAGGGGCCTGGGTGCTGAGGCTGGTGGGCCCAGTCCTGCCCTTCACGGCTGCCCGGGACTCAGGCCTTGGGTTTTGAACCTGTGTAGGATTCCAGGTGACAAATGCTTGCAGGTCAGGCTAGTCCACAGCGATGCAGAGACCTGTCGAGGACCAGGCCTGCTTTGCTTTCCAACAAAATGAGACAGTGTTTCGTTGTCCCATGGGGGAGGTGTGCCATGGGCACCTGGGGTTCAGATTATGCCTCTACGGTTCCCTGGCTGTGTGTCCTCCACAGTCCTCCCTGGAGCATGCAGGCCATCAGTGTGTTTCCTGTGGCTGCCATTTCAGGTCACCCTCACTGAGCTTGAAACAACACATTCTTCACTTGTGGCACTCAGGAATCCCCAGAGGTGTCAGAGGGGCTGCATTCCTTTGCAGGCTCTGTGTGTCTGTCCTTTTTCTAGCTTTTAGAGGCCCTTGCGTTTCTTGGCTCGTGTGACTCCAGACTCTGCTTCCATCCTCACATGTCTTGACTGCCTGTCACACTCCTCCTTGTCTTATGAGGACCTCATGATGACATTGGGCCGACCATGGAATCAGAGCAGGGGGCATTATTTGTCTACTGCATTGTATCCATGACGGCCAAAGAGTCACACTTTCCTCCCACTCATAATATAGTCCCCTCACGTCATGGTCCCTGAGAACCTTAGTCCACTACAGCATCAACTCATCATCTATATCCCCTCAGTGAGTGAGGACTCCACAGCGAACTATAGGCCAGCGCCAGCACTGCAATTGTGCCTAGTGCCCAGTGAAGTGCATCTTCCAGGCGTGGCACCGCGAAGTGCTGCAGGCCGCCGAGGTCTTTCCTCTCAAGGTGGTCTGCTGACTGCATGACTTTCCTTTGCTGCAGCAGCTCCTTCTCTAGGATGTGTGACACTGTCTGCTGTTGCATCAGGCCCATTCTTCAGGCTAAGGTACCTTCCTTTTCTGAGTTGCTGGTGTCATCGAGACGGTCATGACCTTCTGGTTGCTATTTTTCTATTGCAGGAGCAAGCCAGAGCCAAAAAGGAAACACCCCCTGAGTCCCCCACTCCTCATTCAGCTGAGGAGAGGCAGCCTTCCAGCCCCATCTATGAGGTGGGTGTTTTTGTTTGGTTCGTGAAGGAGTCTTGAACCTTTTGCAGTGCCCGTGTGGATGTTTGATGTGCTGTGCTCTGTGCCCACACTGGGCTTGTGGTGTGGCAGGGTTCAGGGATGGCATCCTTGGAGTGAGGCATCCTCCCCGTTGCCCTTCTTTACCTTTCTGCACCTCCCTGCAGTCAGACTGCCAGCTGAGGAGTGGGTCACTGTCTCCCTACAGCCCTGGGTAAGTCGCTGGATGCCAAATGCTCAGTCACATTGGTTTTGTTGGTCTTCTTTCACAAGCCTGTGTGTGTTGAGCTGGCTGCACTTCTTTATGGGAACCAGCCTCCTTTGGCACTGAGGCGCCACCACCAGTGTCACTCCTGTGGCTCTGATGGTGTGTTCCCAGACACCTCCCTTCTGTGCCACATTGGTGCCTCTCACAGACCTGCGATCTTGCTTTGTCCCTCAGATGCTAACCTGCCTGACAGCTCCTGGCTCCCCCTCCACTGTGGCCCTTGTCCTGTTTCCTGTTTCCCCCATAGCCACTCTGGGCTGCACATTTACTCTTTTATCTAAATAGCACTTTGTGTCAGTGAATTGCAACTGCTGAGGACTCAAGACACAGGGAGGTTACAGACCCGTGAAAGCTATGGAGATGCACAGGGCCGGGCCTGGGTATTCCTGGTCTTACTCCCAAATCCAGAGAAAGCCAGGCCTCCCAGCAGCATCCTGCAAGTGCCATTCCTGACCACTTGCCTTGTTTTTTGTGACCCACAGAGGGCACCTGGTCAGAAACATTGGAGCCAATGTTAATGTGTGCTTCAGGATGCCTGTTAGAACTCAGAAGTCATATGGTTTTTTTTTATTTAAAAAATTTTTTAGTCACGCAGTTTTAAATTATAAGGTGTGTATTTTCTCTGAGTACCTTTGTCTTTGAACATGGTTCTTTTGGTGGTTCCCTTGCCTCACTCTGTGCGGAGGATTTGGTTAGAAGACAAGAAGCTGCTGGCTGGTGCTGATAGGCAGCACTGGACAGGACAGAAACCTGAGACCTAAAATACAAACAGGCTAATTTGAACTCAGGATGGAATGACTCGAGCCCTGGGGATGCAGTTTGGGGAGTGTATGGTTCCTGGTGAGGAGAGTGGACTTCAGTCCCTTCAGGATTTGGGAGTGTTGGGGGTAATAAGGACTGGGGCTCCCTGGATGAGAGGTCAGTCAGGACTTTGAACTGATGCCTTCCTGACTAGTGTCCTTTTCCTCAATCCCAGCCGAAGCTAGGAAATAAGTCCCCATGTCTTAGGTGGCATTGACAGTGTAGCTGTAAACTTTGTAGGTGCCAGCCAGGCCACAGGATATGTCCATTTGTTCCTTTTCAGGATGCAGCCTCCTTGAACGCAGAGGTCCTGCAAGTGAAAGTGAGCCCTAGCATGTGTACAGTGCAGAGGCCACAAACTACCTTCCCACAGGCCAGCAGTTAGCAGAGCCTGGGCTATGATCCGGAAGCCATCTAGGACACCACCAAACCCTCTGGCCACTATCAAGCAGGTACTGTGCCCACACTCCCATGCCCTTCCTGGGAATGGGGCTCTCTGAGAGATCCCACCCAGCATTATTCCCCATGAAGAATGTGTTCAGGGTTCCTGTCTGCTCACACCCCCCACCCCCGAACTCTTTGTTTCCCTGTTAGAATGGCCCTAGGCACAGTGGTCTCCAGTGGCAGCAGTGGTCCTGGGAAGGTCCCTGGTATTCTGGGATACAGGGAACCTGGGGATAGGTCTGGAGTCAGGAAACGGGCTTCTGTTACTGTGGCATTTCCTCTGGACATCAAGCACCTGTCTGCTGCAGGACAACCTTAAAGGTGACATTTTCTGCGGCTTGAAGATGGTGCAGGTGTTTCACTTAGGTCAGTGTGGTGAACCTATAGCATGCCTGCTGCAGTGGGTATGCGCAGAGCCCTCTCTGTTGGCTCACAATCCAAGTCCCGCCAGAAACCCAGCGTTGAATTAGGTTATTTTTGTAAACTAAAACCTCGGTATTCAGGTTTAATTACAGCATTATCACTTTGTGATACATAAGTGGGTTTTGTGTTACAGTTTGAGTAGTTAGTTGGTCTCCAAAAGGTTTTCTGCCCCTGATCTAGGTGAACACTGCAGTTTTGCTTATTGTCCTTTAATACTGAGGTTTCCTGTAGTACGCCAGGTCCAGCACAGACCCCTTATCCCACATGGAGCAATGTGGTAATGTGGTCGGTATGGAGGGCAGGAGCCACTTGGGCTGAGAACCCACGTGACGGGGGGGGAGGCCTCTTACCTTGACAGCGTCACAGGCATTGATTGCCCTGTCCCTTCTCTTATTCACTTCCCTGATGATGCTAGATATTTTGCATTTTAAAAGTTATACTCTCAAAATGGTCATGAGAGCCATGTTCCCTGGGTGATGGCAGAGCTGGGAGTCCATGGACTTGCTCTTGAAAGCTGGAGTCTTCTCTTGAGTTTCCAGGAGGTGCCTCCTTTCCTCTCTCCTGCTGCCCTCAGAGTGGAGCTCACTCACTGAGATTTTTTGCTAGCAAGTGCTCTGCCCCAAATCTTGGGAATCATTGTGTGAAAAGCAGTTACAGTGGGGAGGTACAGGTGGGTACCAGCTGCTGCTCAACTGTCCCCATTTCCTTTCAGAAGAGAACACCTATGACGAGTATGAGAACGACCTGGGCATCACAGCCATCGCACTTTAGGACTACCAGGCTGGTGAGGCGCCTGAGCAACTTCCTGCCCTTTGTTCCTGCCAGCTCAGCCCCTAAGAATCTGACTTTTCCAGTGATGCTGCAGTTTCTATTTTGAAATAGTTTCAGTTACAGAAAAACTCCCAGTACAGTGACAAGGACTCTCATGTCTCAACCAGGTCCTAATTTTCTGCATGTGTGCATGTACAAACTCATGCACTTAACCACTTCAATTACATTTATTCTCAGATCCATCGGGGACCTGCAAGGTCCCCATTGCCCCTAAAAACCCCATTTGATGTGATGGCACGTACCTGAAATCCTGGCTATTTGGGAGACCAAAACAGGGGAATGCAAATTTGAACCCTGTCTGGGTGAATTAGCAAAACCCTGTCTCCAAAGAAATAGATGTGTTGGGGATGTAGCTCTGTGAAACGCCTGCAGGTGGCCCCCATTCCCTCCCTAGTATTACAAAAATACAGAAAACAAAACTCGAAAACTGCACTGTGCATGTCTAGGACATCCAGGGTCTCATATGAGTACTTCCAGCACTCTCCACCCTCTGGGAGGTCACTTGTGCACATGACACACCCCTCGGCGTTGGTCCTGTTTGGCCCTGTTCCTGGGCCGTGTCCTTCCACAGTTGGCCAGGGCCCAGCAGAGTTGGTGCTCGCATGGTAGGAAGGCCACAGATACAATTCGGTGCCTCCCTGTGCTGAGTTGTCTTTTTTGTGGTACCCAGGATCGAACTCCTGACCTTGTACTTGCCAAGCAGGTGCTTACACCACTGAGATAAATCCCTGCCCTACCCTGTATGTTATTTCTGTGGCATTGGTCACTATCACCTGCCAATCCACACCACTCCAGTAGCAGTTGATGACTGCGAGGCGCTATGGTGAGCCCCCCAGGTCCTGTCTTCTCTCAGCCTCACTTGGCCTTCCCTGACAGTAGCTTCCCAGTTCCTCCTCCCCGCTGAGTGGGGGCGGTCAAAGGCAGAGCGTGGCCTTTCTGCACCTGCTATTATTTATTCCCCTATCTATACATTTCTCTTGCTTTTTTTTTCTTTTGAGGCAGGGTCTCTATTCAAGTGATAAAACCTTTTTATCACCTGAAATAGAGTTGATGCTGGCTTTAAACTCACTATGTAGCCCTTGAACTTGTGCCATGTGATCCTCCTGTGTAAGCCTCCCGACTGCTAGGATTACAAATGTGCACCACCATGCCCAGCAGCACACATGTTTCTATTTATTCTTCAATGGGTTCTCTGATATTTTGGCATCTGTACATATGTTTGAGTTCATCCCGTGACCTGTGTTCCAGCCCGTCACCTGGGCTTCTTTCTAGACCCCTTCCTGTGTTCAGAACCACCCACCCTGACCACCCCTCCTACATGTCCTCGTCCCCCTGTGCCCTGTCAGTGGTGGCACCCTTCCCTCACTCCCCCAGTGAAGGTGGGAAGGAAGGCGAGTTCCCACCCATCCTGGCCATTTCTCAAAAACAGTGTCTGGCCAGGGTGGATGTTTTTGGAAGACGCCGCTCACATTTGTGCATCCCAGCCTTACACGGGCTGTGGCTGCCTCCTTCTTCTTGCTGCATGCTCCTCCCAGCCCCCCTGGAAATGTTTTCCATTTGTGTCTGTCTCTTTGCTTTTTTCCCAGCGCGTGGTGACGAAATCTCCTTTGACCCTGATGACATCATCAGCAACATAGAAATGATGCATGAGGAAGGCTGGCAGCGCAGCGTGTGCAAGCGCCTGTACGGGCTCTTCCCGGCCAACTATGTGGAGATGTGGCAGTAGGCGGCCCGCCTGCCCTGCGGGCCTGTACAGAATCACACTTCAGATCATGCCTTTGCTGGTTTGGGGTTTTGGGTTTGTATTTTTTGTTCTGTTTTCTGAGGGTGAGGAGGGAAATATACATATTGATTTTATATTTAATACTTCTACTGATGCTTTTGAAAATGTTGATGCCACAGAATGTGCTAATAAATTGTAATCATGTTCCCTAGGAGGACTTTGGTGATTGTTTTTGAACTTTTTTTTTTTTTTGCCAAATTGCCTTGTCATGTGTAGCCACTTCAGGTACCTGTGGCTCTCCTGAGGTCAGCAGTGCATGTTGTCTGTATGTTTGTCATGACTGTTGGGTCTCCCAGGACTGATGTCCATGTCTGCAGCTCTGGGAGTGGCTGACTACATAAGCTCTGTGGGGCAGCAGTGTTCGGAAGTGGAGGGAAGACCCGGGTCAAGAGTAAGACTGGTGGGAACCCCTGGAGGGGTGCTGGCTCCCCTGTCAGGTGGGACACCCCCACATCTCATCCCATGTGACCCAAGGTTGTGCGAGGCTTTCTCCTGTGCCCCTGTCTTATCCCTATCTCCATGGCTCTCCTGACCCCTGACTCCTGCCCTGCTAGGTGTCACCACGTCCTTCCATTGTTCCCTCACTGCTTGTCTTACACACTGGCCCACAGTGAAGGGCCCTGGGCTTAGAGGTGAGCTTAAAGCTAGTGTTGGGCCTGGGTGCCACCCAGGGCTGCTCCCATGGCTGTCTGCTCATGCAGGGGGGGTGACATGTGTGTCTGGATGGCCCCCAGTTGGGGGAGGCAGGTACTTGCTGTGGACTGCCAGAAGGACGCCCTCATCAGGGGGTTGTGCATTTTGCCAAAATCTCGTGTTTAGTTATTAAAATGTGATTGAGTTGGCTAAAATACGACTGGGAACAAGCAAGTGTTCCTTCCCGTTGTGCCACGGTGGTCTCTTTAAGCCACTCTGTCCATACTGCCTGCTACTTGCAGGGGGAATACCTGTCCTTCCTGAGACACCAGGGCCAGTCTTGTTGGTGCACATGATTGGGGGACAGATCCACGGAAATGTTATGACTGTTGGGGACACTTGGCGGTCCTGATGTGCATGTTTTCTCTCTGGAAGTGATTTCTGCAGTCTTGCTTTTCCCACTATTAGGTTGGGTTTTACATACAACTTACTGTATCTGGATTTCTGTAGTATACCTCATACGTATGATTTTTAAAAAATCAAATATTCTGAATAAACCTTTTTTTTTCTTTTTTTAAACTGATTTGCTGTGTGATTTGCTTTGATACTTGGTCACTTTGTTCTGGAGTTGAAAGTGCCTTTGTGGGTGTCAGTGTCCTGCATTCCGTGAGAGACCTGGCCTGGACCACCCTCCAGCCAATGTGCCATCCTTCTGCTTCTCAGGTGAAGCAAAGTCCCCTTCTCAAGGGCACGTTTTATCACCTGAAATGCACCCTCAAATCTTGATTTGAAGGAAGTCTCCAATCAGAACAGAAAATGCCATATTTAGCAATCACTTCTGAGCTGCAGCTCTCAAAATGAATCCTTCAGTGGTTGCCGTGTAGTCAGAGGCATTAGTTTCCTTCAGCTCACACACCTCAGGGCCTGAAGGAAGTGCTGAGCCTGGGCAGAGGAGCTGGTGTCTGCAGCAAGGGCCTGGCTCCTGGACCTGCCCTGGGCTCTGGCCAGTCTGCTTTAAAAGGAACAATCATGGATGAGGGACTAGCCACCTCTTTGGAAACCCCCAGGGCAGTGGCAAGGGAGCTGGTGCTCCCTCCAAGGTGGACAGGCAGACCTTCCTTCCTGGGCAGCTCCCAGACCCAGTGCCAGCACAAGAGGGCTTTGAACCTTTGGGAAAAGGCACTCTGTTATACCTGGAAGCAAGGGAAGCACAATGCAAATCATAGCTGTGCAACGCTTTTATGTTCGTGTCGTTTGCAGGAGCTGAGAGTAGCTTACTGCAGCCATAGTCCTGGTGTAGGGACAGGCCCAGAACCCTGAGCTTTGGGCACTGTCCTTGCTGTCTGGTGAGGTCCCTTGACTCTTCCTGCCAGCAGGAGCCAGGAGCAGGGCTTGAAAACCTGGTTCCACTCATACCCTGCCTGCTGGGCCCTCCTGTGGAAGCCCAGCTGAAAAGCCCCTCCAGCCTCTGAGCTGGCAGCAGCATCCCCAGTGCCCTGCCTTGCCTCCACCTTGATAGCAGAACTTTGCCAGTGTTGCTTGTGTGATACAATCCTGAGAGTCCATCTCTCCTCCCACAAAAAATTTGGTGCATCAAGGGGTCCCCAGTGTGGAAACTCTCATGTATGACTATAGTTTGGGGGTGGGAGAAGGGAACTGTCTACCAGTGAAGCTGCTGCTACCTGTTGGAGAGGGTGGGCAGATCTTGAACTCGGGTGTGACATGATAGGGGATATATGGTAACAGTGTTTCCATTGCCCACTGTTTACCCACTTGCTCTGTGACCATAGATGTGGCAGGGGCCTTGCAGACCCCGGACACAAAGTGGACAGGTCCCTTTCCATTTTGCTGAGTCATACATCTGTAATTCTTAAGTTTGATCTCAAGGACCCCTTTAGTCTGAGGAACAACTCGGGACTGGGTTTCTGGGCCCCTTTGTGCTCTCAGCCACTGGAAGCTGGAGGTCAGAGGTTAGCAGGCTTTTCTCTGTTGAGGCCCAGCCATGAGGAGTGATTTCATGGTATGGAGGCAGCAAGGGTCTCTGGGAAGCACTGCAGTTTCTGATGGCCACTTTGGGCAGCTCTGAAGTGCACACAGAGAAGCAAAACTGAGAGCAGGTGAAACTTCTTGTCTTGTGTGTGGAAGATACTTTTGCTGGTCCTTGTTCAACCAAAGATGTCCAGAAAGGGACTGCATGGGAAGTTAACGGAGCATGTCCCGGGTGCTGTCCCTGCATGTGGAATGACTGGTGAGGGAGGGCTCTGGTGGGGAACAGCTGCTTCCACCTTCATTATTACCTCCAGCTACAGATTGTGTAACCAAGAAGAGAACACAGGTGCCCCAGAGCTGTGCCCTGTGCTCTTGCACCCTGCAGACGCTGGTAGAGTGGGCAGGTGCTTTGCCTCCTACACTGGCTTGCAGATATTCAGCTTCTTTATCTGAGGAGGATTAAAAACAGCCACCTCAACTAGCTGAAGTGGCACACTCTTGAAGCTGAGACAGGAGAATTGCTGAAAGTTTGAGGCCAGCCTGAACTAGATAATGAGTCCTCGTCTTCCAAAAACCAAAAGACAAGACAGCTCTCTCTCTCTAGTCAGGTGCTTGCTAGAAGCATTTCACATGCTCAAGTGCCAGGACACACCTTCCCAGCTGGATGGGCCAGGCACAGTGTCACATGCCTTTGGTCTCAGCACTTTGAGGCTTGCCTGAGCCCAGACAATCCAGGCCAGTCTAGGCAACATAACAAGACCCAGCTCAAAGCAACAACTGCATGGAATGATTTGAGCATGTATTGCAATGTGATACAGTGATACATTGAGTAACTGGCTTTTCTGGAGACACCAAGATGCCTTCAGGTCCTTGCTTCCATCCAGTGTTGTGAATTCTGTTTTTTCTTCTTTCTTCTGACATTTTCTGCCATGGAAACAGACCCCTTGCTTTTGATTATGATTGTGAAGGTGATGCCATGTAAGGAATATAGTCATTCAAGTACAGTAAACACAGGCTGCGTGGTGAGGTTGTTTTCCCCCCAACATTATCATTGTTACAATAGTGCTTATTCAATGAACATTTAAAAATTCCATGAGCCAGACAGCTCAGTTGTCATTTCTGCTCTGTAAGATTTCCCATAAACAAGCCATCTAGATTTAATGCGGTTAATTTCTCTGTTAATGAAACTTCCTCCTAGTAAATAAGGAAATCCCACCTCTCAGGTGCACTGTGAGACTCAGTAGGCCCAGGGCGCTTTTCCAGGCAGAACAGTGACTTCCCACAGAAGCCCACCTTGTCATCCCCGGGATTTGTGAGAATGTCCTGTCTGGCACGGGAGAATTCGGTTGCAGATGGAAGCAGGAAGAGGGCGCTGAGGAATCAGTGGTTAAGGGGGCAGAGCTTCAGTGTGGGAAGATGAGGACATTCTGGAGGTGGACGTGGGGACAGCTGGTCAGTAGTGTGAGCATACCTAATGCCCCCGACCTGTGCACCTGAACATGGTTCAGATGGGAAGTTTTGTGTGTGTTTTACCATAACGAAAATATATCTTGTTGTCTGTTTGCTTTTTGAGACAGGGTCTTTTTCATAGCTCAGGCTGGCCTTGAACTTCTATGTAGCTAGCCCAGGCTGACCTTCACCTTGCAGCAATCCTCCTGCCTCAGCTAGAATTATAGATGTATGCTGCCATACCCTGCTGAAAACAAACTTGTCCAACAGAGATTAGAAATTTCTGAGTCGACCCAGCATAATCCAAAGGGGTCTTCAAGAGGCAAAGGGAGGGGCCTGGGGATTTAGCTCAGCGGCATAAGCACCTGCCTTGCAAGCAGGCAGTTGTGAGTTCGATCCCCAGTACCGATAAAAATGAAAAAGAAGCAAAGGGAGGCTAAGAGCTCAGAGTCACCGTGGTGGGGTGGGAGAGGACCTTGACTGTTACTGCCAGCTCTGAAGTTGAGGAAAGTGGACAGAATCCACAAGTCCCTCCAGAAACTGGAGGCAGGAGGAAGTGGATTTTCCACTGGACCTGCAGAAAGGAAGGCAGCCTGGCCATACCATGTCTTTAGCTCAGGAAGACCCTTGCCAGATCCAGACCTACAAAACTGAAGGGACACTGTTTCTTTAGGTTATCAAGCTTGTGGTGTCACCAGAGTCTCCACAGACCATCCAGTCTTCATTACTTGGTGGTTGGCATGGTCTGTGTCTGACCACAGAGTCCCTTTCTCCACTAGGTGACTGCTGGGTGCCCAGAAGGTGCTTTGCTTGATAAATGATGCAAACCTGATGGCATGAAGAATCAAGGGACCCACGTTTGGTGATTTCTCCATGTGATGTTTCCTCCCACTTTTCTGTGGTGCAGGGTACAGAACCAGGACCCTCACACACGCTCTAGTCAGGCACCCTGACACTGAGACACACTCCCAGACTCCCCTCCTCAAGTTTTAATTGGCAGGATCAAAATTTGTCTATATTTATGATTGGTAACATGCTACTTGTTTTGTTTCTTGGATTTTTGAGACACTTTTGCTCTGTAGT